GACTTTATAGTTGCAATTCGGACAAAAAATTGGTTTGGTGGTGAGTATTCCGGTTTTGTGTGTGTGTGTGTGTGTGTGTGTGTGTGTGTGTGTTAGAGTCTTGCTATGTTACCCATGCTGGTCTCAAATCCCTGGCCTCAAGCATCTTTTCCCACTTTGGTCTCCCAAAGCTGTTTCCTATTTTATTAAATTACTTAATTTATTTTCTGTTTGTGACTTTGGAGATGCCACAAGAGGCTTTTTGTTTTTTTTTTTTTTTTGGTAGAGATAGAGTCTTGCTATGTTACCCAGGCTGGTCTCAAATCCCTGGCCTCAAGCATCTTTTCCCACTTTGGTCTCCCAAAGCTGTTTCCTATTTTATTAATTTTCTTTCTTTATTTCCTTTACTTTTGTGTGATTTACTTTGTTTTTCTAGTATTCTTGTTGAGATGGCTATTAAGCTTATTGAGTTCTTATTTTCTAGCATAAATATTTAAATACTGATAAAGTCACATTTTTATCATATAATTTGAAGTATTTTTAAGCTTCCATTGTGTGTTTTTTTTTCTTTGTATTTTGAGCTGTGGGTTATATAGAAGTGTTTTTAAAAATATGTCACCAAATGGGATTTTAAACAATTTGTCTCATATTTAATAGCTTTTGATTTGATTGCATTGTGGTAAGAGAATCTCATGTATATGAATTGATTTTTGAACTCTTTTGTTGAATTTGCATTATGGCCTTCTACATGGCCAGTTTGTAAACACTCTCCATTGTTGAAGAATGTGAGCTCTTTAATGTTGAATGCTGTATATTTCTGTGAAATCTATGTGCGTACTATTGTATGGATGACCATAATTTCTTTATTCCACTTTGATCATTTATTTGGTATTACAGACAATGCTTATAAAAACTTTTTTTGTGTGTCTTTCTGGATAACCATGTGATTGTATCCAGAGGAGAAATTCATGTTACTGTACTTTCATTATACACCTTTTAAATTAGGATCAAGATTGATCTAGTTTATACTCTAAATACAGTGTACGTTTTATGCTTGTTTCCCTGTGTCTTTGTTCTGGCTATTAGCAAACTTAAGACTGGTTTCCATTTTTTAAAAATTTATTTATTTTGTTGTTTTCTTTCAAGGAACGGAAAGGACTGTTTTCCATTCAATTCTGAGGTTAAAAATTGCTGTCTTTTGATTTCTAATTCTTTATGAGTGAGATTTAGTCACAATTTATTTTTCTTTTGGAGAGCTATTCATATAGCCATTTTTTTTTAACTGGGCTGATTGTCATCTTTTTTACTGCTATGTAAAATTTCTTCTTTGCCACATGTGGCACATTGAGAAGGCTTAAGGTTTGCAAGTACTAGATACTTGTTTTTATTTGACTGACTTCAAAATGTTGTTTGCATTAGAAATGGATGATGGACCTTCTCGAAGAGATCATTTCATGAAAAGTGGATTTGCCTCTGGGCGGAATTTTGGAAACAGAGGTAAGTATCTTTGTCTTTCCTTAATCTCCTGAACTGTTGAATAATTGTATATACAGAGGCTTTCATAGCCGTTTGGCACAAAACTAAGTCTGTTGTAACTCAGTGTATAGTAGACTTGGTGTTGAGATAATGAGTTCATCGTTTTTCCAAGTTCATTTTCTTTTTGCTGTTTTACTTCTTTGGGCTAGTAGGGGAGTAGTGTTAAGCTGATTAGACAGATTGGTTGGAGGGATGGATGGGTTGGATGGACGGATGATTCACAGAGCTGCTTCTTAACATGTTTATGATATTGATTTCCATCAATTGACGTGGGAAGAATGTTTGTAAAAGCTTCAGGGATTAGAGGTGAGAAGGACTCTTTCTTGAATTTTATATTTTTCAAGAAAAAGGCAGTATAGGAAACATGTGTTAGCTCATTAGTATTAATTTTTTAAGAGCTTATTTTGCCATTATTGGATTTTTTAATTTTACTTTTAGGACAACCAGCTGATATGACAGATAATGACACAGCAAAACCTCTTTCTACAGTCCATTTTTAGACTTAATATTAACATGCTAGAAATACTATGTGCTGTGTTTTATTATAGTGCAATAACATATTAGAACTTCAAGTTAAATTTATTTGAAAATCCCTATGGTCATTTTTTTTTTTTTTTCTTTTAGGGATTGCTATAGCTAGGGCTATTTGGTAAATATACTTGACACTTATTCTTGAATTTATGAGATGTTATTTTTTGAAAAACTCTATTGATACTTTCAGATATTTTTGTTGTGGAAACTAAAAGATGCATGATGTTTTATTGGACATTTGGAACATTTCTTTAGATACAGTGAACGCAAATTTGAGTCTTATATTTTGACATGTTTCTGCCACTAATGGAAATGATTAATCAAATATCACATATATTTTGGTTTTTAAGACTGCATATTAAGATGCATTGCTTATTTGAACAATGTAATTGTGCTAAGAGATTCAAATGAGGTTTTATTAGCTACTACTGACATTAGAAATAATATATTTAGGAGCATATTTAGTATTTAGATATATTTTAAAATTACATTTTGGTAGAGGTTATGTGATATTTTGATACAGTCTTCTAAATATTATTGAATAAAACCTTTTTCAGTGAGAAAATCATCACTGAGGCAGATTTTACCACAAATTATTTTCATGTTTTAGATTGAAATACACATAAAATTTCTGATCAGAACTCTCAGTTGTTAATACTTTAAACAATTAGCTTTATATTTTCTATAACCTGGGACATTTGTAGACCCATGAGTATAACTTACTTTCCGTATGATTCTTCCAACATTTTATATAGTTTCTTTTTTTTTTTTTTTTTTTTTATTTGAGACAGTTTTGCTCTTGTTGCCTAGGCTGGAGTGCAATGGCACAATCTCGGCTGACTGTAACCTCCACCTCCCAGGTTCAAGCAATTCTCCTGCCTCAGCCTTCCAAGTAGCTGAGATTACAGGTGTGCACCACCACCCCCAGCTAATTTTTTTGTATTATTAGTAGAGATGAGGTTTCACCATGTTGGCCAGGCTAGTCTCAAACTCCTGACCTCAGGTGATCCACCCACCTCGGCCTCCCAGTGTGCTGGGATTATAGACGTGAGCCACCGCGCCTGGCCTATATAGTTTCAATCTTGATTTTCTTCTCAGTAGAACTTGCATAACTAATAATGTGGTTTTCGAAGTTAACTCTTAATTGCTTAAAATATCGACTAGCTTGTTATGTCCTGTGAAGTATGTCGAAGTAGCTTGGACTTCTTGAATCACACATCTTTGAAATCTGATTAAAATACTTTTATAGTTGGGCATACACAATTTTACCTGTGGTTTTAGAAGTTACACAGATCCCTTTTAACTCCCCTCTACAAGGGTATTACAGAGGTAAGTAAGACAGTATATAGGGATCACAGGGAATGCTTTAATTTTTTTCTCAGTGATAGTTTAAAGCGTCATTTTATGCTGTTTTGGATGTCTCTCCTGTTGTTTTTTTAAATTTTTTATTTTAAATAATCCTGCTTCTTGCTATCACATCTCTGCCCTCGAGATTTTTAATTTAGTGGTAGAGAAACACATGGAAAGAAATACTCCTTTAAAAAGGTACAGATAGTATGCTGTGGGAATGTGGAAGAAGGATAAATTATGACTGGAGGGCTAAAGGAAGACTTCACATAATTGTTTTTTTGAAGAATGAAATGAATTTTGATAAGACAAATAGGAAAGCAGGGAATGCTATGCCAAAGGAATAGCATGTACAAAGATGTAAAATTAGCAGTTGACAATGTGGAGTTTTGGAGTTGTTTGGTGTGAATTAAAATGTTGGGTGTTTAGAATTACCTAGTGAGAAACAAAGCTAAGAAAGTTAGTATGGGAAAATAGTATGGTGAAATGCGGAGGCCAGGAGGGGAGTGTAGTCTTAGGTTTTTCTCTTATGTATTCCCTTGTTTTAATTTTAAAAGTGTAAAGGATGTGATAAATATAAGAAATAGAAAAATAAAAAAATAGAACAGTTAAACAGGACACAGTATAGCATTTTCAATAGCAATGACTTTCACACAGGGCAGAGTATAATAGCCGGCTCTATCAGGATGAGAATTCAACATATGGAAAACTATGGAGCAGAATTTTCCTGCTTGAAGGTCTCCAATATAATACCAATCAGTAGAAAGCTATATTTCACCAGTAGTAGATTTGTTTTTACCTTGGTATCATAATTTAAGAGTTTTTCTTTTAAGTTGCAGGTATGTTAATTAATTTTAGGTTTCTATGCTACTCTATTCCCATCCTTGGAAGTCCCTTTACGCCGGAAATTCATTTAATTCTTAGTTTTTGATGATGGCACACTTAATTTTGTATGTTAAAGAGTTTAATCTGACCTTTTTCAGATGCTGGTGAGTCTAATAAAAGAGATAATACATCCACAATGGGTGGTTTTGGAGTTGGAAAGAGTTTTGGAAACAGAGGTAATTACTTGGTTATGATATCTTACAATCAAAACTTGAGTGATTTTTTAATAATTGAGTTTAAATACTGATAGACATTCCATATTGACATTTAATTTGAAGGTATATATTCCCTGAGTGCCTTTGCACTAAAGATTGTTTTATTTAAACTTATTAAAAACATTTTTTAATTTTATGAAAGATTACTGATGAATACTTTTAAAATTAGTTCTAGAGACCTGTCTGTATGCTCCAGAGATGCATAACTCTTAGACGTAGGTTTTTAGGAAATAAGTTTGAAAGCAAACAAATAAGTTTGATGACTTTTTTTAAAAAGAGTAAACAAAAAGAAGCTAACAAGATTTTCATGTTATTGAGGAGAAAATCATTGAGTTATTGGATTATAATTTAGTTGTATTGTCCTTAGCAGATGAAGAGATTGGGTTTGTAAAATTTTGAGAATTTTGATGGTTTGAAATAGAAAACATATAGGGTTACACTGACATATTCCTCTGTTTTGCCGATGTGCATATAGAGGAGTATGTGACAATTGAGGTAATATAGAATTGGCTGAAAAGAAAGTTGTTTTTAACCTTAAGAGAATGGAGTTGATAAACTGACACAAAGCAGAAATTGTTTACAGCCTGAGTGAATTTGCATGTGATAGCTATGTATACAATTGTGTACTGCTTATCTTAAAAAGTCTTCATAACTAGTAATCCCTGTGTGGTTATTATTTTTATTATTATTATTTATTACCACAGAGGTACAGGAAATTGTTTCATTTTATATTTTGTATAGGTTTTTCGAACAGCAAGTTTGAAGACGGTGATAGCTCTGGTTTCTGGAGAGGTAAGGTCAATATTTTTGTGTGTTAAAATTTAATGTCAAGAGTACATGCTAAAAAAGAGAAATGAAGATTAAGTCTCTTAGTCTGGGCCAATTCTAACTTATTTAAACCAGATTTTATGACGTAGCTATATCCAAAGCCTTAACCAAGGATATTACTACTTTGTACATAAAGAATTCAGGCATACTAACTTGGCCTGTTGCCATCTGCCTTAATCCATGAGGTACAACTTTTGAATGCTCTGAAATTTAAGAAAATGGGGATAGTAAAAAGAAGTAGTCAAGAAGTGAAACTTCACTCTCTATATAAATACAGTTTGTGATGTGTAGGGTCATGTTTAG